GAAAAATAGGTGAAGGGAGACGGACAGGGCAAGATATGACAAAATAATAATTTATAAATTATCAAGGACTCATGAAGGAGGGAAAAAAATAAGGAGCTGATGTCGGGGGCTTAACTGGAGAGCAAATGTTTTGAGAATGATGACGGCAATGAATGTACAAATGTGCTTTACACAATTGATGTATGTACGGATTGTGATATGAGTTGTATGAGCCCCTAATAAAATGATTTAAAAATAAATAATAAATTTTTAAAAAAGAAAAGTCACTTGATTTCATTAAAGTTGAGAGAATTCTGCTAGTATACTCTTAATCTCCAATGTTATATTAGCAAGTACTGTAAGATTTTTAAAGAAATAACTTTTGAAGGTGAAAATCAGGTTATTGTAATATTTGGAAGTAGATGTAAAAGTAAAATATCCTCCCCTCTCCCCACCCGTCTGTCAGTTTTTGTGAGTATTGCGGTAGACTGTGTGTGACTGTGACGCTGGGACTCGTGCCATGGGGACGTCAGACACCACAGAGCTGCCCACGGTGGACGGGCTTCAGCAGAGCTTACAAACCCAGACAGACAACAAAGAGGCGGCGGTCCATTTCTGAAAAAGTAACCAGATGAAAACTGATAACAGTGTGGAGTTCCAGTACCTGAACTCAGATTGGAAGGCACTAAAAATACGATTAGGAAAGAGCTGCCTCCTCAAAGTACAGTATCTTTTTTTAAAATCATTTGGTTGGAGGCTCATACAGCTCTTATCATAATCCATTCCTGCATCCACAATGTCAAGCCCATTTGTACATATGTTGCCATCGTCCTTTTCAAAACATTTTTCTTTCTACCTGAGCCCTTGGTATCAGCTCACTTTTTTCCCTCCCTCCCCCGCCTTCCTCCCTCATGAACGCTTGATGATTTATAAATTATTGGGGTTTTTTTCTTGTCTTACACCGACCGCAGTACAGTCTATCTTAATGGCCTGAATAGAGAAGGCTTTCAGGACCCTCCATTGCTGATGTGACATGAATCTACAGGAGAAGAAGCTACTGTACATTTCCATTAATAATCAGAATGTCGAGTGTACAAAGTATGACTCCAATTGGAAGTCATCAAGAATGAAATGGACCACACAAGGATCAGCATGCTGGGCATCAGTGAGTGGAAATGAACTAGGATTGGCGCCGTTTTTCATGAAGAAATCCCATCCCTTACTCTGCGGCGGCTGACGATGAGAAGGAATAGCACCGCGTCCATCGGGAGGAAGCACACCTTTCAGGACATCGACGATGACTACATTAAGACCGGAAAATACAACTATTAGTCAAATTCATCTACCAACTACTTAAGCCAAAGACGAAGAAATCTGGAGATTTTAACCATTTTCTGCAGTCTGACATTGATCAAACATACGAATCGAATGCATTGATCGTGACTGGGACTGAACTGCAAAAGGACAGACACAAAGGATCAGAAGCTGACACGTGGTCTTGACATAAATCTACAAGATACGTGACTTTTTCACTGCAAAACCCTTTCTTCCACAATGTTAATTGATACTGCCCAATCATTTGACCAGAACAAGGGTAATTGTCATTTAAAACATTGTGGGGTTTAAAATCAGGAAATGTGGGCATCAGGGTTCTATCCTTTCACGCGTATTTGATCTGTATCCTGAGCGAATGTACTCAGACGCTGGACAAGTTGAAGGAGAACTCAGCATCACAGTTGGAGGAAGACTCATGAACAACCTCCGATATTTCATTTATTCACAGCTCTTCCCCCTCCCTAGAATGTTTTTGTTTTTCTCTATCTAGTCCCAATGCTGGAACAGTCCTTGCTAAATGATAGGGGCTTAAGAAGTACTTACTAAATTAAATAAAGATTTTTCATCAAAAGAAAAGCTTTGAGTGAATCAAAAAGGGTTTTGATCTATTACGACTCTGTTCAGATAGATATGTAGACTATCAGCTACCGATAAAATTTCTATCGATGCACCTCTAATGTCCTTAAGTGCAAGATATTTACCCGAGTAAAATATCGTTAGGAAAACCGGCAGGAAGGGCTCAGCGTGTGAGGATTTATTCATTACTATCAGTAGGTCCTATTACATGCTTGGAATAAAAATGGCCAAGCAGAGTTCGTTTGTGTGGAGGCAGAATTTAACTCCCTTCTTGTGGTGCGGCTTCCTTCACAGTGTTTAGATTCAGTGGCCCAATGACCACAAAGAGCCTGAGCATCACACGCTGCTTCTTAAATGACGACTGACTCACCTGGAGCCTCTGGGGAGCCAACTCAAGAGCAACAGCAACAGCCACCCCGTAGTTTCCATCCCAGTCCCAGTAGCTAGGGCTTCCTACTGCCCGCTGCAGGGTGGAGTGTCACTGAGCTGATTGTGAAGTCCAGGAGTTGGAAGAAGAAAGATGGCAGCAGCCCAGGGCACAGCCTCTTGGGCACAGCGCTCCTGAACCCCCTGTGAATGGTGGACTCCTTCCCATGGTCACCACCCTATCAGCAACATGCTGTTGCACTTTGTCCTTGACTTGCCCTGCTAATTCCCGACAGACAGGCCACTCGCAGTTCAGAGGACATCCTTTTCCACTCAGGTCTTCAAGGAAGGTTACTCTCTAGTGCAGTCAACAGGGTCCGATCCTACCGGTCATAGCTGGATGTGTCATCTTCCCAGAATGAGGTTCATGAGGACAGAGATCACAACTACACAAGGGCAGAAATCCTACTCACCATGGAAACAATGCTAAGTCGGCCCCATCAGTTCAGGAAGTTGTCAGGCACCACTCTATGGGGGAGTGAGTTGACTTTTCTAACAGCGTATTTCCAAATCTCCACAGCTTAACACAGCGAAGGTTTCACTGATTTCTCATCATGTCACAGCCCAAGGCAGAGAGTAGGTACAAACAGGCCTCTGCTCCGCACAGACGGAGGACTCGGGCCCTTGCTCCTAGCAGGGGTTCTCATCCTGGGGTCCATGAAGCGGTTGCTTTTCTCTAGAGGAACCTGGATGCAGAAGGAAGCATGTCTTTATTGTCACTATCCTTTCAAGTGTCGTTTCATACTTCCTTCTATTATGATTGTGCACTTCAGACCACAAGAACGTTACTACTTTGCTACCATCTCCTGTTAACAGTTGTAGCACCTGTCATGAAACATGACAGCTTAATATTACTTCAAGATTACAGTGTCTACTGTTAATAAAAAGCACATAGATCACAAAATAGATCCAGTATTTTGATACTTATATTCCATTACACCTGTTTTCTTTTGTCGTTCTGTGCGTTTTATTTTGCACGCTAAAAGCATTATTCTGAGAAGCAGTACATAGGCTTTATCAGCTGCATGGCGAGCTAAAGAGTCCCTGACATTGTGGCTCTGCCCCCCTAGGACCTTTAGGACCCTCTGAACACAGCAGAACAAGTTGGGCACTGAGGAAGAGGAGCTAAGGTGGGGGGTGGGAGGGTGGCGATTTTAGGAGTAAGGTAAGGAGGAGCATCGATCACCCTCTCCACAGTCCACTGGCCCCAATTCAGTCAAATGACTCCACTTGACTACAAAGGCACTGAGAAATGCGGTTCCGTTATGTGCCCACAACAAGGAGAAAGCACTGTCACCATGCCCAAGGAAACAGTCGGCCAAGAGATGGCATCCCAATGGCAAGGACCCTCCTAGAGAACACTCATCCCTGTCAAATTTAACATTAGGAAGCCTCATCACCATCATACCGTGATAGCCACCACTCATTGGATGCTACTTCTGTCTGTGTTCTGCGAAACGCTTCACTTCCATGAGCTCATCTAATCCTGTAATGACCCTATGTGACCAAAACCCAACGCAAACTCACTGCCACTGAGTCCATTCTGACTCATAGTGACCCCACAGGACAGGACAACTGCCCCTTCTGAGGCTGTAAATCTTTCCGAGAGCAGAAAGCCTCATCTTTTTCTGACAGAGTGATGGTGCTGCTGACTTTGTGGTCAGCTGCCCAGTATGCAATCCGCTGGGCCACTAGGGTGCCTCACCGAATGCGACAGGTACTATGAATGGTCTTGGTTTAGAGCGGAAGGACTGGCCCCCCAAGAAAGTAAGCCCCAAACCAGTGTGCTTGATCCGTGTTCAGGAATGTTTTTGGAAAACACCGAGACCCTTCTTGGAAGAGGCAGAATTGCATACTATGGGCAGGCAGTGTGGTTCCTGGAGCCAGACACTCTGGAATCCTGTCCTCGCTTTTCCACTCACTGATTCCTTCAGTGGGGATGACTTCCTGAAGCTCTGCATCTGCAGAAAGGCGATCCCCAGGCCATCTGTCTTTTAGGATTAACTGAGATGAAGTACTTGACAGCACCTGGCCCCTAGTTCATTCTCACGGACCAGTGTCCAAGCCTGAACCACTCTTGACCACTTACCGCAGTGACGTGAACTCAAACATTCCACCTGAACTCAGTTCTCATGAAGGATATAGGGAGACGTCTGAGGTCACCAACATGCTCACTGGCTGGGGGCTTTGCTAGATGGAGGCCAAGTCTCTCTCTCTCTCTCACACACACACACACACCAGGTTTGGATAACAGACATAAATGGATTCATTTGTCAGTGTGTTAGACCAGGTTGACTAGAGAAACCAATCCAGATACATTCATATTTTTATAAGAAAGAATGTATCAAAAAGCAATTATATACCAAAAAGAATCCCAGCCCAGATCAAGTCCATAAATCCAATACTAGTCCATAAATCCCTCATCAGACTCACAGGGCACATACAATGATGCAAAATCACAGGTCTCCGTGTGGCTTGTCAACAGGAGTGTGAAGCAGAGAGAGAGGGGGAAGGTTCCCAGGACCAGCCTTGCGAAAAGGATGGCCACGCCCACCAGGAGGCATCATCAGGCTGTGACCTGGTTGACCAGGCTAGATGCCAGCCCTACACCCTATTGATCAAGTGGACGTGAAATTATGTGACCACCACATTCACATTAATGTCCCTTTCTCTCTCCTCTGTAGAACTCCATGAAAGTGATGTTCAAATGCCTCTGGAAAAACTGCGGGAAGGTTCTGAGCACGGCAGCAGGCATCCAGAAACACATCCGGACCATTCATCTTGGGTATGGCAGCCCTCGACTCCCAGCTCCCCTTTGGGGATAGCGTCCATCCATCCAACCTAGGGCCATCGGCACCCAGAAATTCCACACAGTGCATTGTGCCTTAGAAGGTCTGAACCCAGAACAGGACCTTGAGCTGACTAGGTCCCCCTAATCCATAGATAGAGCTGGCCACTGCAGGCAGTGTAGGCCAATGGGACACAGTAGGAAGAATTTACACAGGAAGTTGGAAAGTCTCTAATTTACTTCCTGGGTGATGTCAGGCAAGTTGCTAAACTGAAAAGACTTCCGTGAATAGTATAGACCCTACAGGGCAAGGGTCAGAGAGACCATGTACAGATAAGAGTGGCTTCTTAAGCACAGAATGCGAAGTTAAGAAAGGAGCGTCCACCCTGGTAGCCACAGACTTCAGCCCCTGAAACTGCCTGTAAAATGACAGGTGCATGCCCCCCCAACCCCAGTGAAGAGTGTCCATGACTGTGTCAACAGCATCTGTAACCTTAAAGGGTTAAAAAAATGACTGCATCACTGGGCACTGGTGTTGTGATGCTTAACAGGCCTGACAGACCATCTAGCGCCTTCACTTGATTGATCAAATAGGCCCTCTATTGTTATGGCCTGCACTTGGCTACTTCCGCTGCACCATCCCAAACCTGGAAGCGTTACAGAAATCATTTCTAAGTAAAACAGAATGAGGCTTTGGGAGACACACTAGGGGGCAGTGGAGGTTCGGCTGACTTCTTTAGTCTCTGGGTTTCTGTCCTAGTCTGCAATTTAGAACGGACCTTAAGACGCTATAAATCCTAGCCAGTATGCACAGGGCAGCCAGAGATGTGTGGCCAAGGCCCCAAATGCTTGAGCACGGAGGAGTTCGCTTATCCAGCTAAGGGCTAAGAGATAAAAGCAATCCAGCACCAGCACCACCCTTCAAAAGGCTTTCACAAAGACTCTGTACTACTGTTTCCCCTAGCCAAAGGAAATCAGAAATGAATTTTCACTTTCATGGGGCTGGGGGAAGGGGTGGGGTAGAAAAGGCAAAAAGCAAAATTGACCCAGCGTCGGTTTTGTACTGAGCCGGTAAATAAGCCAAACTGACTGCCTCCAGTCGGTGGGACTCAGTGACTCCATTAGACAGGGCAGAACTGCCCCTGTGAGATTCTTTGCAGAAGCAGAAAGTCCTGTCTTTCTCCCTTAGAGGGGGCTGGTGGTTTCAAACTGCTGACCTTATGGATCCCAGCCCGACATGGAAAGCCTATGCCCCTGGTCAGCATCGACTCAATGGCAGTGAGTTGGGTTTCTTCACTGTTATTTTCAAGAGGCAGCACACACTGAGCAGGGAGAGTGGGACCCACGCTCCACCTCGCAGCGTCAATCCACGGTAGCTCTGAGCTGTGCCGTGAGCACTACTAGCTCTCATGTGAGACCTGACACAATCTGGCAGGTTGTGTTTTAAGTTCGGGAATATTCCAAATTTCCGTCCCAGATACACGAATGGCAATTGCTTCTTCGCTGAAAGATGCCATGGGAACCCTCTACTTTCAGAGAGCGCAGGGAACCTGTCGTCATTTCACCCAACAAGGGATCAATTCGGGAATGAATGCATCATCCGCTAAAAGTGGGATAGGCCGGGAAACAGAAACCGGCTCTAAGCTGACTCAGCCGACCTGGTGGCCGGCTCCTGGAGCGACAAGAAGGAATCTAACTCCTAGCACCTTTCGGGCTGATGGTTTGGAGAGCTCCGACTGCTCAGCTTTCAGACCCTTCCCAACCCGACCCTGACGGTCACACAGTCTCAGCTGTGACCGTGCCCAAAGGAGCTTGGGCTTCCTCTCCGCAGACCTCCAACAGGCTTACAGTGAAACCCCCACCGGGCACAATGCTTCCCTTCCAATTCCTAAAGCCTGCGGGAGAGGCTTCCTGCAGCGCCTGGCCTCCAATCTCTTCTTGGGACAATTCACAATGTAAATAGCTCCGAGTTATTTAAGGGTTTTAAAAACAACTTCCCAAAGCTTTAGCCAGGCAGTGGGATGTTTGTTTTCAAGTCCGTCTGCCCCAGAAAATTGAATCCTATTCAACATCAAGTGGAAGCAGGCACTGGGTGATGTTTGTATAGACTGTCTGTGAGTAAACACGTTTTCTTTCTGTTCCGGGATGCCGCTCGGTGTGTGAAATTAAGAATGCGGCCACTGTACTTGCCTATCATCAAATGCCATCGAGTCAGTCCCAGCCCACAGAGACCCGGTGTACCGTAGAATGAAACACTGCACCAGCAGTCCCGCACCAGCCCCACCGTGGTCGGTCCCTCACCCTGGTCCTTCTATGCCAGGGCCCCATCCTGACTTGTCCCCAGCGAGGTCAAACAATTCCCCCCAGGGCTCTAAGTCTATTAGTAGCACCCATTGCCACTGGGCCCGCCTTTTACTGGAAAGGAAGTTGGGACCAGAATAGAACAGAGACACATTCTTCATCCCACTCTCTGGGGTCTTTCTCTAATGGTATGCTTTGTCAGAAAGCCAAGCCAGCCAGACCTGACCCGGGATCAAGACACCTCCTCCTGAGGGGCCAGGGGAAACAGAGCTAAGCTTAGAGAAGTCACCCATTGGGCCAAACAGAAAGAGCCTCATGAGGGATTTGGACTGTAGCTTCTAGGTAGGGATCATCAAGTGGGATCGTAAGTTTTCTGGTTTCCCAGGTCCGGGATCTGTGGCTGCTGGATGTGTCCAAGAAATTCAGGGGCTAGACTAAGGAATTGGGGGAGTACAGGGGCCGCTGCTCAGCTCTCCCTAGAACCAAGCTGCTTCACACACTCGGGTCTCTGAGCTGCTCCTCCCTACTGCCTTCTTCCCACAAGTTTCCGCCTGGCTCCCGGCTCTTCAGGTCTCTGCACACACACGTCTCACGGCCCTGGCCCCAGTGAGCTTCCTCTGACTCCAGAACATCCCCCCGCCCCCATCATGAGCACTGCTTACAGATATTTACACTGCCGCTTTTTTTCTTTATGGGACCGCCTGACATATTAACAACGATAGAAATCTTTGGCTCCATTTTATAAAGAACATAAGGGATTTCTTGTCTCTCCCTCTTACTAAACGAGAGAACTGCACGTTCTCTCAGAGTAGAGAGGATAGACCTTTTTTCACCCCACTGTAAAATTAAAGAGACCCAAGAACAGTGTCAAGAGCCCTGGTGGCATAGTGGGCTGCTGACCGCAGAAGTCAGCAGTTCGAAACCACCAGCCATTCCACAGGAGAAAGAAGAGGCTTTCTACTTCCATAAAGATTCACAGCATCAGAACCCACAGGGGCCGTTCCACTCTGTGCTATAGGGTCATAGGTATCCATCTGAATCGAATCACTGGCAGGCATTCAGGACAGCACTTGGACATCATAGATTCTCACTAAAATGTCGAATGAATGATTGGCAGGATGAGCAGAAGAGCAAACTGTTTAAAGATGTGGAGGAAGATTTTTCTGGAAGTGGCAGTTGAGTGGTGTAGGATAAGTGAGAGATTGACAGCAGTCAGGAGAGTGACCGAACACTGTAGACAGAACAGCATGTGCAGGAGTCTTGGGGATGAGAAGCCACACGCATGGGCCTGGTACAATTGCTTTGCTCTCTTTCTGTGGTAGGCGTGTTGGGGACTCTGACTACAGCGATGGAGAAGAGGACTTTTACTACACGGAGATCAAGCTCAACACCGACTCGGTGGCGGATGGACTGGGCAGCCTGGCCCCAGTGTCCCCCTCCCAGTCCATGGCTTCGCCTTCTCCTTTCCCCATCCCCGAGTCAAGCCGAGCGGAAATTTGTGCCAAAACCGAGACAAAACTGATGACGCCCCTGAGCCGCTCTGCTCCCACCACCCTCTACCTCGTGCACGCGGACCATGCTTACCAGGTGACTTGTGCAGGACTTGACCCTGACCCCGACAAAAAGCAGTAGCATGTGACCCGAGTCAGTCAGTGGACAGTCAATGGACAGTCAGCCTCAGGCACTGTGGCCCGCCCACCGCGGAGTCCGCTTTCCTTATGCTCCAATTAGGACAGGTCTCACACAGAGGGGCCCCTATGGGTTTGCCAAGCCCCCTACTTACTGACTGCAGGTCCCAGCCTTACACGATAATCCTTACACTATAAAGCGCTCGGGATGGTGCCTGGCACATTTTGTAAGGATCCCTTCACTAAATAATAATAATACATAAAAAAGTGAGTACTGGGGATTTGGGGCACAGCCACCTGGCATCCCAACACAAGAGTTCGTAACCCGAATTCTAAATAAGTAGAGTAGCCCCGCCCAGATGAAAGGGGTGAACTTCAAAGTCTGTTCCCCCTGATCAGGCATCAGGACCACCTGGGAATACATGTGGTTATGTGCTGGCCTGTCAGTCCTGGCTCATAGCAACCCTATGTACCGCAGCAGAACGGCCTCTAAGGGGTTCCTAGGCTGTCACATTTAGAGAGCAGGCCTCTCCCTGCAGAGAGAGGCCGGTGCGATCTAACCAGAGACTTTTCCTTTAGCATTCCAGCATATATTAGAAATCTAAATTCTCGGCCCCCACCCAGACCTTCTAGGTCCCTAACCCCGTGAAGGGCCCAGCACTCGGCCGCAGCAGGTCTTCCTCATGATTCCCATGCTCTACGATCTGAGAACTGCTGAGATCATGGGGGGGACGCCTGCAAACCAGGACATGGTAAAAACCTTCCCCTAACAACAGTCGACTGTCACATGTTCATTTGTTTTAATAAACTTTGAACACTTTCTGAGCGTGAGGAAGCATTTTGCCCTTCATGCATACCACCTTATGCCACCTTTGAAAATCTTTGTATCTTTATAATTGTGTGCCCATCCTTTATTAAAATGTTCCGTTTAACTGAATAGTATTGAATACTATTGGAAACACCATCGGCTCTCTTAAGTCATTCTTTTATGGTTGGATATCTACTGTCATTTTTGTTTTAGTCTATTGAATATCTTCAGTGTCATTAATAACTGTGTTATCAGGTCACTGTAAATTGGAATCAACTCAATTGCAGTGAGTTTGGTTTTATGAATAAATCAGTGCCTACCGCTAAAGAGCCCTGGTGGCATAGTGGGTTACACATTGAGCTGCTAATCACAAGGTCAACAGCTTGAACCTACTAGCCACTCTATAGGAGAAAGTTGAGGCTGTGTAAAGATTCACAGCCTCAGAGAACCAAAGAGGCCACATTGAATCCAACTCAGTCCCCTGGCAGTGGGGTTTCGATTTGATGCTTCTCGTTACTTTTGTCTTTCTTTCTTTAAATTCCAAGAAGTGCAGTTACAGTCAGAAGATAGAACATGAACATTGTAAGACTCTGCTCTGACTCGCCAAGATATTCTCCAGTGGTACCAATTACAAAACCCTGTCATTAGCAGTACATTTGCAATTAGAAAAACTAAACTTGTAGAGGAAGAAGTCAGCCACTAATTTAGCCAACTTAAACTTAAGAATAATAGAATTAAACTAATTGAGGCCATAAATCTGAGTCCTGCCACCTGTATTGATTTCCTAGAAACGGAGCTGCTAAGCTGCAGATATTTTACCCTGATTGCCACGTCCCCCCCCGTCACTCTGCTGAAGCTTGTTTCCCAACTTGAGAGTAAAAATAACAGCTCACACTTGCCCTAAAATAGACCTAAGTCCATATCGGAATAAGGGGAAAATGAGGAGCTGATACCAAGGGCTCAAGTAGAAAGAAAATGTTTTGAGAATGATGATGGCAACAAATACACAAATGTGCTTGACACAGTGGATGGATGGATGGCTTGTGATAAGAGTTGTAAGAGCCCCCTATAAAATGATTTTTTTTTTTTAAAGAATTCTTTTCAGAAATCAATAAAAGGGGGAAACAACCTCTCCATGTTTTCGATGCTTCGGCATCTAGAAAGTTGAACTCTAGCTAGTTCTGAGCCATTTTAATTGCCTCCAGTTGGGTAATTGGGCCCCTGGGTGGCACGAATGGAAAGCAGAGAGGGGTTCAAGTCTGCCCAGCAACGCCACGAACAAAAAGCCTCGTGCCCAACTTCCATCAGATGACAGCCATTCTAAGTCCTGTAGCGGGCCATCCAACTCTGACACACAAGGGGTCACAAAAGTCAGGACTGACTGACTGGGCCACAGCAGGGGACTCAGCAATTAGCCTAGGTTATTAATACGTCTGAGGCCCGACTTGGGTCATGGCAGTGCCTCCAAGAAGCCAAAACCCACTGCCGTCGAGTTGACCCAACTCACCGCTTATTCAGTCCTCGAGTTGATGTCGACTCATAGTGAGGCCAGTGTAGAACAGGTTTCTGAGACTAACTCTTTATGGGAGTAGGAAGTCTCGTCTTTCTCCTGCTGACCTTACAATTAACAACCGCGCACGTAACCACTGCCACCAGGACGCAGCAACTCTGCAGATTGTTATAGAAAGAGAGAGCCTCATCTTTCTGCTACAGAGCTGATAGTGGGTTGGAACCACTGGTCTTGCCATTTACTATCCAACATTTATCCCACAGCTCCTTATGGGAGTCCCTAGCCAAGAAAACAAACTGGCCGCCATTAAGTTAATTAACGCCAGCTCACAGAGACCCTTATAGGATGGACTAGAACTGCCCATGTGGGTTTCTGAGACTTTGACTCCTCACCTCATCTTTCTCCCCAGGAGCGGCTGGTGGTTTCGAAATGCTATCTCTGGAGTCAACAACCCAACACATAACCATTATGGAACCAGGCTCCCATGAAAGGGAGTCCCCAGGTGGTCAAATGATTGAGGCTCTTGGCTGCTAAGTCCATGCATCTCAGGGTTTCCCCTGAGATGATCCACTTCTGGAAACTCAGCCCCTGAGAGTCCTGTGGAAGACACTTTCACTGCCTGCCCACAGGCACACCGTGAGCCGGGCTCAGCTCCACGGGGGCAGCTCAACACCCCGAGGAAAACCGTTCTCTCATGAAATGTTCTCTGTTTTCTGGTTAACAGGCCACCCCCCCAGTGACCATTCCAGGATCAGCAAAGTTCACCCCCAATGGGAGCAGCTTCAGCATTTCCTGGCAGTCTCCTCCTGTTACCTTCACAGGCATTCCCGTGAGTAGGAAAGCCCACAGCTGGGGCGGTGGCCCAGTGGGAGGACTGCGCAGGGCGAGCACGGAGCACCGCAGAATGCGAGCCGCAGCACGCTCCTATGGCTAACGTGGCACTTACAGACCGGACAGCCAGGTTCAGACCCAACTCTGACAAGATGTTCTGACTGCTATTTAGAAAACCGAAGAGTTCCGCTCCTTGCAACACTCCTAGCCCTCGTTATTCCGGGCTGTGTATTATCAAAAATGATCTCTACGGTAAACTCAGAGCCTAGACCTAAAGGGTGGTATTATCAGTAGAAAAACCTGAAATCCATGTCTTTGAAATGAGCGTTTCATGAATGTGTCATTTGGAAGGTTCAAAAAAATAATGAGTCAAACGGTTTCATTCTTCCAAAGCCTGAATAGTCCAGGCTGGTGGATACTGCAAAAATAAGTAAGTGCTGAAACACCATAAAATGTAAGTCGTTCCCAAGAAGAATGTGATTGGACATGGTCAGTGATTGCTGTCTGATAAATCACCATGCGTTTCCGTAATGCCTAACCATCCATTTAATAAGATACTGAGTCTCTTGGAGTTTATCACACAATACCCATAGGCCCGCACACTGTTGATGCCCACAGCAGCGTAATCGCTCCCGATAAGGTTCGGAAAGTGGCTTCAGAGAACAGACCTCTCGACCCTATTTCCTCCTTCCTGCTCCTCACAAAAGCTCCTTACCGCCAGCCACTGGCAGCTCCCAAAGTCTAAGGCCTCCTGCAGTGCTGATAAAAATGAAAGTGGCTGAATCAAATTATTCTGTGCTCTGTCAATGAATATTTATTAAATTCCACAGAGGAATAGCCAATGATTATTTTTTTCAAGCCTGCCGGCAGAAAACTAAAAAATAACTTCCAAAAAGTATTCCTGGAATTCCATTTTCTAGCAGGCCTGTCGGTCCAGAAAAGGGAGCCCCAGTGGTGTGGCTATGATGCGTGGGGCTGCTAACAACAAGGTCAGCAATTCGAAACCATCAGCCACAACCGGGGAGCAAGACGAGGCTTTCTACTCCCATAGGAAGTTAGTCTCAGAAATGCACTGGGGGCAGCGTTAGCCTGCCCTATAAGGTTGCTGTAAGGAGTCCTGGTGGCGGACCAGCTGCTCCCAAGGAGAAAGAGGAGGCTTTCTACTCCTGCAAAGAGCTAGTAGTCTCAGGAACCCCCAGGGGCAGTGCTAGCCTGTTCTGTTGGGCTGCTCGGAGCTGAGATCCATTCAGTGGCCGTGAGGTTTTGTTTGTTTTTATCAAGTTGCTATGAGTCAGTGTTGACTGGGTGACCGTGGGTTTGACCAGGGGTGGATCTGGAGTAATGATGGATATTGTTTGTTTCATTGAGTAGTGTTAAGCACTAGTAGCTCTGGGAAAAAACAGGAATTCAATGAGTGGCCTCATGGGTAGACTTCAGAAGAGATAAGTTGGACATTAAATCTTCGGTTTGTGGTCTATTAGTGCACGTGTTGGAGGTTACCTTTTTTTGTAAAACCTTTTTACATGCACGGGGGCTTCAAAAAGTTTATGGAAAAGCTTCAATAGCTGTTCATTCCATTTTTCCATGAACTTTGTAATGCCCCTAGTACAGCAACCCAGCGTGGTTGTCAGCCTCATTCTTGAGATAACCATGCTGTGTTTGTCTAGAACAGCAGCCGCATTGCAGAATTATAGAACCCTGTTGTAGAAGCCCTGCTAGTTTGGTAAGGTACATGCTGGGCTGCTCAACTAAAGGCCAGCAGTTTGAATCCACCAGCTAGCTGCTCTCTGGAGAGAAAGAGGAGGCTTTCTGCTCCTATAAAGATTTACAACCTCAGAGACCTACAGGGCATCCGACTCCTTCCTATTAGGGTCCCTGTGAGTTGGAATCAACTTAATGGCTGTGGGTTTGGGAAACCAGAAAACCAAACCAGCATCCATTTTAGAAAGTGCTTTTGAACAAAACCCATTACTCTTTTTATGCCTGAAAGAATACTCCGAGGCTGTCAGATCACCCCCATTTAGGATTTCTTTTTCCTACATCTTTGAGACCTGGTATTGAAGAGGAGATGTTGTACGCTAACTAGAGAGTGAAAAGAATCATCCGAGAAAGCCAGAGGATTGCAGGGCTTTACTTATTCATCAGCCTCAGCTAGATTTCCTGAACATTGCACTTTTAATAAGTTCCCTGGGTACAACTTCTTCCCAGAGGGCCATAGCCTATGAGCTTGATCTGCATATTTACAAATGGAACTCTTACATTCTGTCTTTCCTAGCCCAAGGCTGTGCAGAAAGAAAGAGGGAGGAGACCCTTGTTAATTACCACTTTCAGGGACTCTTTCTCTACCGCCTTCCCCCAATGACCTGCCTTTTCTCCTCATTATTTCTATCCCTTTCACTGTCTTTGCATAACCAACTCCCCTAGCAAGAAAGTAGAAGCTAGTCAACCTGCCGTGCAAGTGCCGTTTCCGGAGGGATCGGCCATCAGGAAGGTTGGTAAACTTGAAAGAGTGCAGACATGAACAGATGGGATCTTTTTTTTTAATTAATCATTTTTAGTTTTGTTGTTGCTGAAACTATCCACAGCAGAACATCTACGAATTCAACCATCTCTTGTACAATGATGTCGATGATATGCTCGTATGTCGTATGACCATGCTCACTGTCCTTGTCCCTGCCAACATCGCCTCGCTGCCCTCACGCCTCTCTAACCTTACTCCACTCGCCAGCATGAATCCCCACTTGTTCCCAATTGTTAGGCTAGGGTTGGAGATGAGTCTGAATGGTAAGAGGCTAAAGCCATAGCAGAGTTATGAGCATATCCCTCTGATACTTTCTTGTGGAAATTACGTACATACAGCACTGTTCAAGTTTCTATTTGCTCTATAAAACATAACCCAACATAGAACGTTTTTTAAACTATTGAAATTTAGAGAAGGTTGGTGGACACCGCGACAATACTGATTGTTAGGACTTTAAAGTTCAGGGCACACATTAACCTCCTCAGAAGAAAGGTGGGGCTTTCTGCTCCCCCAGCCAAATTACAGTCTGGGAAACTCACGGCCAGTTCTCCCTTGCCCTCCAGGTTCACTGCGAGTCAGTATGGTAGTGAGTTTGTTTGTTGTTGTGTTTACCTTCTTAACCTCTCCTCTTCCTCATCTCTAAAAATGGTAGTAATGTTTTTATCCCAGGCCACTGTGGAGGTTACTTCGCTTATAGAGCAAACGCCCGAAAGCACCCTGTCATAGTTGCATGTACTGAAAAATGTCAGTTGCCTACTTCATCATGCCATTCTACTCCGTTCTCAAGCCCAGCTACAAAGTGAGGGAAAAACATAATTGTCTTATTAAACATCAAAGAAAATGCACCAGTTAATTTGTATTGTTCTTCCCATAGAAGTAAGCAGCACACATGCATATGCGACGTGCATAAAAATGGTGTGAGGACCACATGTAACTGGACTTCACAGGGAGGAAGGAGAACCAAACCCACCATCGACCCAAGATAATTCTGATGAAGAGGTTTGAAGTGCCTCCGACCTTCCCCAATCCTGATGCCAACTGTCCCTTCCACAGCATTCTATTCCTCTGCTGGATTCAATAATGCATTGCCGTGGCCACACGGAGCTCACAGAGCATAATGGAAGTTATAAAGCTTATTAGTTAACAGTTGTACCTCAGGATCAGAAATGATCGCGATACCGTTTGTCAGTCAGTTTGGCCTCTTAACCACGTGGCCCCTACCTTTAGCACTGCCCGTAAATGCCCAAGGGTCACCCTGTCCAACATGAGTCACAGTCTGAAGGCACTCAACTCTGGGTCAGCAAACCTAGCTCCCCCAATTAAGTGCCTAGAGGCACCCAACTCTGCAAGTGAGGCTTCTGCCCAACGCACAGCGTTACTGGCTCCTCGGGCTGGGAATCCCACCACACCTGTGCTTTGCTCTTAATTCTACCACTGCTTCTTCAACGTCCCTGCCTCTCCGCCCTCTGCTGTCAAGGAATTTCAGCATGTAGGAATCCCAGAATCCAGGGGACACATTCCCCTCCTGGCTTTTCTTCCTTGATGGCAGTGAGATTCCCCTCCAGCTTCTGACTTAGCTCACTGTATACCCAGCAGGATGGCAAAATTGACCAATTCCCACATTCGCATTCCAGATTTTCATAATCACAATTAACCCTGTTAACAATCACTCCCAACTGAACCATATAATTCTGTCAGCTTCTTCCCCACTTTCTCTTAGACTTAGACCCATCTGAAAAAGAGGAAATATACCAAATCTGCTTGATGCCACCCCATGGTTTGGTGGCAATCCCAAAGACTATGGCCAGAAGGACCACATCAAGTAATCAAAATAGCTCTCTCTGTCATTTGCTTTATGCACCCTGCAGAAACCCGAGAGGTGCAGCATTGGGGGAGGAGCTTCTAGACCTATAGTCCTGTGCACACAGTGTGCATACAGCATTAAGCACCAGGGCTCAGAAAGCCCTTACCAGGAATAAAGACTGTTAAAAAAACAAAACAAAAACAAAATCCAGTGTTACCGAAGTATCAGAGTAAACTTGGCTCCGTAGGCTTTTCAGTGACTGATTTTTTCTCCAAAGTAAATGGCCAGGCCAGTCCTCCGCAGTGCCTCTGGGTACACTAAAATCACCTTTTTGCTTAGCAGTCGAGCACATGAACCATTTGCACGCCCCAGCGACTCAGTGAAGAATAAACCAAAAGCAAGCCCACTGCCTTCCCATCCATTCCAGTTCATGGTGACCCTCCATAGGCGTGCCAAGGCTGTACATCGCTACAGTAGCAGAACGCCCAATCTTTCTCCCACCGTGCAGGTGGTGGGTAAGAACTGCTGACCTTCCTGTTAGCTCTCCCAGTCGCACCCAGCAGGGCTCCTCATCAACTTTATCATATAAAGCCTGAAGGCGGTCTAATGCAAACAAGCTGTTGCCATCGAGCCAGTTCTGACTCACAGTGGCTCTCTAGCACCAGTAGAGTAGCTGCTTCGCGATTCTGGTTTCTGAGGTTGTCCATCTTGACAGGAACCGATGGAGATTCATCTTTTCTTCCACAGAGCGGCTGGTGGGTTCGTACTCCTGACCTTGTGGTCAGCAGCAGCCCACCCTCATAACCCACACCACCAGCACCAGAGGAAGGGTTGTTCTTGCCATAGCTCCATAGTCCTCAAACTGTATCCACGGAATTTTCAAAGCCCCTCCGCCCCCCTTCTCCCATATCTGCCACTTCACCAGTTTCTCCTTCACAGAAAGTGGCAGTCTCGCCTCTCAGGCCAGAGCCCACGCTCTGCCGCCATTCCTTTTGATGATCTGTGACCTCTGCCGTTCCTCTATCCCACTCAGCAGCAGACTCTGTTACTGAGAGCGAGAATCCAGCCCCTTCCCACCACCACTGGTATAACCCTAGTTTAAACCTCTGCTATGGTTTAGCCTGAAAAGTTGCAAGAACCTTCTCACTGGTGTGCAGTTCCTCCCCAGGCCTCTCCTGTCTATTCTCCCAGGATCCAAGGTGGTCTTTTTAAAGCATGAATTAGATGCATCACTGTTCTTTAAACCTTCCAGTGGTCTTCTGTTTCACATTCGGAATACTCAAATGCCTCATCACAGCTGGGCCCGTGTGCATCTATCTACCTTCTCCCAATCTACCTCCCACGTAACACCTCGGGCCCCACTTGGTGGTCTTTGGCATTGCCCTCCCTTCCCCTGGACCACGTCCTCCCTAAATAATTAAACACCCTCCCCAACCCTTCTATCACAGAGCCTAAAGCCTCTCATCCTGTGTTTCTTCTGGCATCATCACTAAATTTATCGTATTTTCTTAAATTTGATTGTTTGTCTTCCCACTAGGGTGGGAGAAAGACAGGGCTCTCTAGCTCCGTGGAGCATTCAGTCTCAGAAACACTCGCAGGAGCAGTTCTGCTATATCCTGTAGACTTGCTCCGAGTTGGCGTTGACTCGATGGCAGTGAGTTTGGGTGTTTCTGTTTTCCCACTAGAATGTGCGTCCCGTGGGGGCAGAGACTTTGTGTTGTTGGCTTACGTATCTCCAGAATCTTCAACGGTGCCGGGCATGTATTGTCAGTGCCGGGCAGTTGATTCCAACCTCCACCGTAGAACTGCTTCCTAGGGTTTCCCAGGCTGATGTCTTTGTGGGAGCATAGCACAAGGTCCCCCTCCTGCAGAGCAACTGGTGGGTTTGAACCACACCAGCTTTTGAGTAGCAGCCAAGTGCTTAACCCGTGTGGCCCCTCCCCTGGCGCACAGGGGAATACTTAGTATTGGTTGGACAACTACTGCCAATACTCACGTGATTCCAGAGCACCCTGTGCCAAAGGGCTGTGGAAACTTTGCTAGACCCATAACCTAGTGTCTGATCCCTGGCTGGTGAAAGCCGTGGCACTGCCAAACCTCTCTGGCTCCCTGGCTTTATAATGAGACACAGCACGTTCCCTACTCGCTTTTGCTTTTCTTCATTACCCTGGTAGCTTCTGAGAGTTTTCTGGATCAACCACAGTTGATCTCTGTGGAGATACAAAGCACGCACTCCTCTCTGCTTACTCTTCAGCAGCCTGTACCAAACCAAGGCCACTGTAGAACGGGGCAGGGCTGCTGCTCCTGGATGGCCTTGCAGAGCTGTCCACAGAGCCCGCCCACGCTGAGCTCCACAGCTTGTTCTGAGTTCCCTGTGCTAGTTCTGTTCTAGCTCATTCCACCCAGCTGCAGCCACGAGCAGACACCAAGGTACAAAATGATTCTGGCTGACAGCAACAGTGGTTTGCCAGTTCAGGTGCCCCTTACCTGTGTAATTACTCTTCTTGACTGCCTCAAGGAAAATCACGCCGCGAACACCGAGAGAAAATAGAAAGTACTAGCAAGCGTACATCTCTCTGAACACATGCCTCAGGAGTGCGCACGTGACAGTTATGGACAAAGCTATTTATAATTTTGATGCTGGCTTCGAGGAGTGAATTTGTTTAGTAAGTACATGCTGTTCCAGACATGGCCATACTGTATAGTATTTGAATACATCAGTGGAATTATGTGAATACATTTTTCTTTTGTGGTGGAAGTTAGGGTTTTTTGCAGTTTTGAGACTCCCAAGAGCTAACAAGACACTTCGTATTATGAGAGCAGGTGGTGGAGGAAAGGGTCTTGTAAGTAGTCCAAGAGGGTTCCATGACAAGAGGGAGCCTCCTGTCATGACAGCCAGGAGCCAGGTACGACAGCCACGGGGCAGGTATTACAGCTAAGAGCCATGCACTACAGCCACGAGACAGGAATACTAAGAGGTACTACGCATACTCCGCTTGTTGGGAGAATACAATACATTCACAAGTCCCAAGACCTTGAGCAAGTTATTTAACTTCCTCACACCTTTGTTTACTCCTCTGCGAGATAGAACAATAACAGCATTATCACATGAGCTATCTATGAGGGTTAAGGCTGTTGTCAGCATATCTGGACATAATAAGTATTCAGTAAAAATTACATGGATGGCATGTGTTCTTGATCTCCTCAAACTCTGCTCCCTACCTTTATGTCTTGGACCCAGAGTTTGCTCATTGATTTAGTGGCCGAAGGGTCATTTACTTGTGCTGAAGAAAATGATTGGGAGAACAAGCAGAAGGCGGCCCTGTCGGCCTTGTGTCGCTGCCACGCACTCGCTCTATAATCTTAGATCCATCCCAACCTCTGTCAACACATTTTATCTCTAGGAGAGGACCCATGAGGCTCGCTCGACCAGACAGGCTTCATCAATGAAATAAGTAGGAATACACTTTCAGATTTTAAATGTTATTCAAGTGGGAATGTATTACATACGGACAACATGGAATCCATAGGTATGAAGTCATGAAGATTTAAAAAAATAGCCACGGGTGCCAGGTCTTCTCTGTTTGGGGATGCACTTAAAGGCTGCCACAAGCCAGCCTCGGTCCGTCCACTTTAACAGTGGCCCCTGCGAAGGAAATGCTTCACGTCGGCAGCGCGTGGTCGGGTACCTCTGACAAAGGCTAACTGCATGCACGGGGAGGAGGAACTGCCAGTAAGCTGTGTTTCCCTGTGCTTGCCAGGTCTCCCCAACGCATAACCATCTGATGGGCGCAGGAGAGCAGAGACCACAGCACACGCACACCGTCCTGTCCTCCCCACCCAGAGGCACCGTCAGCCTGAGGTATGGCTAACAGGATCTGCACGAATCACCCCAAGGGGTCAAAGGAAAGGTAGAAGGGCGGCAAGAAAGGAGAAGCCAGAAGGTCCATCTTCCATTACGTTTACCCGAATCGCCCAAACACCCTTTCCTGTTGAGTCTGTGCTTTTCTTCCCACTCAACCACGAATGGACCTCTTGTTTAAAGGGAGCATCAGCTTACTCTTCTGATTTTGTAATTGAAACAAATCTATGTATATTTAACAGTTTCTACTTCAACCAATTTGAGGGTACGATTCAGTGATGTTAATTACATTCACCATGTTCGAGAACCATCACAGCACTATGGGTTTCCAATTTTGTCCCCCTCCCTCAGTATCTCTTTAGCAGTCATTCCTCCCCACAGCTCAGACTGTGTAAACTCTGGCCCTACCCTAGCCATTTCAGATCGCTGCAGCCACACGCTCCTTGTTCTTCCGTCACTCAGCATATGGTTTACGTTTCATCCGTGGCATAGCATGGCCCAGAGCTTCACTTCTTCCTCTTACTGAACAGACAGACATATATACGGGGGGTG